AATACTCATATGTATATACATAATTTAATACTCAAATATATATAAGCATGAGTATGCCTCATGTATATGCTTGATCCTTCCTTGGTACCTATACTTTTTGTTTGTGTTCTTTATTATCTTTAAGTAGTTATACAAAGGGGTTTTAATTCAACAAATCAGTTCATAAATACTATGTATCTTGGTCAATGTCATCCCTTCTATTTTTCTCCTTCAAGATCTTTCCTAACCCCATCCATACCCTCAAGTTATGTGGTTCCATTTTCACATACGTACATTGAATATAATGATTGTAAATACAATCAATAAATACAATCATTTGCCCATCTTTCCTCTTTCCTTTCATCTGCCCTAGTGTGTGTGTGTTGCCTTAAACTCACTATGTAACCCAGACTGGCTTTGGACTTATGATCCTCCTGCATCATTTCACAAGTGTTAGGATTACAGGTATGCACTGAGAATTGAAGCCCAGACCTTACACTTGCTGACAGATGCTCTGTCACTTCAGGTGTGGCTCTAGCCCACTCTATATAGACGTTTTACCTCCAGCTTATCATGAAGTTACTCCATTTTCCAAAATACTCACCCATTTGTGTTATCTCCATGAGCTGGTCTCAGTTTCACCTTCTCTAGCTGAACTCTCCCTTAACTCATATTAAAACCTTGTGTTTCATTTTAAGCTCTGGAACATCCTAATCACTTATGACAGCCTGTCCCTGCTAGAACATTCACACCCCATCCTGGACTCTTCTGCTTCTCTTACTCCTCATGTCTAATCCACCTGCGAGTTCCATTGGCCTAACTAAAAATAAAGCTGGAACTGAGCACTGCCCATTCCCATTGCTGTCCAGGTCCAGGTAGAGCATCCCTAGCTCCTAACTGGTCTCTGCCTCTGCCTTTTGTCTCTCTCCCAGTGCTGCAGCAAATCAGGTTCAAAACCTGAAACCTTCTGCTAGCTGAACTGGCCTTCTTGTTACTCCCCAGACACCAGGTGCACTTTCCTATCTGTTGCCAACAAATCTCCCATCTCGGAAAAAAGAAAGGTTTGGTTGTCTCCAGCCATCTCACTCAAATGTCATTTTAAATTTCTTCGCACCACAGATTGTTTTATCTTCTCATATGCTATGTACTTGCAGTTTTACTTAGCATTGTTTGTCTATCCTCACAAGGGCAGAGGATCACCACTGAAACTCTGGACCAGCATGTGGAATATGGCAGGAATTCAGTGATAACCACCTCAGTAATGACTGTCCTGCTCTAAGGCTTACTACATTTGGTAAGGCAAGCAGTACAAAGAGAAGCACATTTAGGGGAGCCATGGTGTGAATGCTTGAGTCTAAGCATCTTACACTAGCAAACGTTCCTCTCTGTCCTGCAAAGGCTTGGCAAACTCTGAGATCAATACCAGTGTGTGCCAATTCTCCACCCTATGTCTGGAACTATTTGCAATGTCACATTACAAACTGACTCATGGGTCAGTTATTACTAAGTTAATGATGCTAAGCTTAGAAATGGAGCTCAAACTGTAGCTCATTTCCTGACATACATTGAACCATAGGAACAACTAGTTATTGTCTTGAATTAAAATAGACCATGAATGGATTTTGACTATGGTTTCTGTTTATACCAGTATAAAATCCAGTTAAAGAAACTGAGCTAATTTGTACCAAGCCAACACCCTCAACCAGATGTTACACAAGCCCAGGATAGTTGCTCTTTTTTATGTACAGACAAACTAGGAAAAAACACCAAATGATTTGGCTATGGTTATTAACTCAATGTCTCCCTCTCCCCCGCTTTCTCTTCTCCTCTTCTTTTTTTTTTTTTTTTTTTGCCCGTCATGGGGCCTGAACTCTGGGCCTGGGTGCTGTCCCTCAGCTCTTCAGCTCAAGGCTAGCGCTCTACCACTGGAGCTACAGCACCACTTCCGGCTTTTTCTGTTTATGTGGTGCTGAGGAATCGAACCCAGGGCCTCATGTTTGCAAGGCAAGCGCTCTACCACTGAGCCACCTTCCCAGCCCCTCCTCTTCTTTACTTCTCTCTCCTCTCTAGACTCTCTTTTTTGAGATAGAGCCTATTGATGGAGATCTACCTGACCTCAGAAACACACTCTACCTCCTTGACCCATTCAAGTGTTGGGATTACAGGTGTGTACACATGCCTGGCTTTAAGTCCACTATCTTTACTGGTTTGGGGAAGAGTTCTTATACCTAAGGCATTCCAAAGAATCTTCAGAATGACAAATTGCTTTTATATATAGAAAAACTATACATTAATAATAAACTTTAAGCAATTACACACACACACACACACACACACACACACACACACACACACACGAACATGGGCTGAACTACTAGTCCTGAAAAAAAAAAGGTCAGGTAATAATATATCAGAAAAGCATCCTGTCATTTAGTGCCAGTCCATCAAGCCCTGTGTCCACCTTAACACACTGTTCATCCTAAAACCGAGAAGCCTCCACACCTGTAATTTGAGGTATTCAAACAAGAATGGTTTACAAGTGTATCTTGACACTTATAAGTGTGGGAAACAAGAACAAATCCTAGATCTTGCCTATGACTTTGGGGACAAAGCTCCAACCAGCTTCTTTAGGACCCCCTCAGTTTCTCTGAAGTCATCAGAGGCTCTGGCTCTCCCGGCCTCTTCCCTGTCCCCAGCTCAGGTCCTTGTGGTGCAGAGGAAATGTTAGCCCCTCCCTATCTTGTGCTTAGGGACAAATGCTGGTCCTGCCCCTGCTCAGCACAGTGACCTACGGCCCATTGGCCCCCAAATAGTCACACTTGTTCCAGGTCCCTTCCTACTGCCACATCTCTGAATCTGCTCTCAGCATATTTTGGATAGTGGCATACTCCCTTTCTGCAACATTATTTCCTTTCCATCTTTCAGAAAGCTACTCAATTGCTGGCCTTCCAATAATACTCTTTCCTGTTGGAATTTTATCTTTTGCATTCTATTAAAGAGATTGAAGGGGGCTGGGAAGGTGGCTCAGTGGTAGAGTGCTTGCCTTGCATGCATGAGGCCCTGGGTTCAATTCCTCAGCACTACATAAGAAAAAAGAAAAAAGCCGGAAGTGTGCTCTGGCTCAAGTGGTAGAGCGCTAGCCTTGAGTTGAAGAGCTGAGGGACAGCGCCCAGGCCAGAGTTCAGGCCCCACAACCGGACCAAAAAAAAAAAAAAAAGAGATTGGAGGCAGAAGGGAAGGTAGGTGTATATGGGATGGTCTACCACCTTAACCTGGGCTTGCTGAACCACCATTTTTATGTTTTTATTTTTCCTAGTGTCCTCCAGTTCATAGACTCCCAGATCTACCTCCTTCCTTCCTTCCTTTCTTCCTTCCTTCCTTCCTTTCTTCCTTCTTTTTCTTTTTTCTTTCTTTCCTCTCTCTCCCTCCTTCCTTCTTTACTTCTTTCTTTCACTCAGGATTTGTGCTCACTAGAAAGATGATCTACCACTTGAGCCATACTCATAGACCTTTTTGCTTTTAGTTTTCAGATAGGGTCTTATAATTTTGCCTAAGAAGCCATAGACCTTGATTTCTGACCTCTGCTTCCTGCATAGCCAGGATTACAGGTGTGAATCACAACATGCCGCTTGTTTTTGAGAGCTTTGTGAACTTTTTATCTAGGCTGGCGTGCAACTGAGATTCTCCTATCTTCACCTTCCAAAGTACCCAGAATTATAGACATATGCCACTACACCCTATCCCATGTTCTTTCTCATGATGACATGCAGCTTCAGAGGTCTCTGGCACATAGGTCACAAGTGAAGTGCAGTCACGTCCTCCTAGGGCTCTAGGCCAATTGCTGTTGGCCCCATCTCTCTTCCTAGTTTATAAATTATTTCTCCTGTGAGTCCAGTGAATGTGAAATCTCTAAAGACTGGTCACAGAATACAAGTTTTTGCATGTGCATGGTGGGAACAATAAACTGTAGTAGTAAAACATACATGCTTAAATCTTAGCAAATCACTTCATCTCTCTACCTCTTAAATTTCCTCCTCTATAAAGCAGCCATGTGAATTATCCTAGTAAGGAGATTATGAGCATTCTTTGTGTAAACAAATGGCCACAAATATTTACTAAGAGTAGTAAGTGCTGGCTGTTATTAGGATTGAGTACCTAGACCATGCCTGGACTGCAGAGACAGAACTTGTGGTTTTCTCAGGAGGCTTAGTCCGGAAGTCCTGGTAAAGTGGGTTAAGAAAGACACACTTAGGGACCTCCTGCATGCACCATACTACAGATACCACAGCAGTAGAGAAGGTATATATGTCAAGGGGTACACATGTCAGTGAGTACACGTTTCTGAGGTCTGTGCTTCTGTATCTGAATGGCAGATAAAGTCAGGGGACACCGTGATTATTGGATACGGCAAGAAAGAACAACCTTTTTTTGTTTTTGTTTTGTGCCAGTCTTAGGTCTTGAACTCAAGGCCTAGGAACTGTCCTGGAGCTAGCACGCTACCATTTGAGCTGCAACTCTATTTCTGGTTGTTCGGTGGTTAACTGGAGATAAGAGTCTCACACACTTTCCTGCTTGGGCTGGCTTTGAACTGCAATCCTCAGATCTCAGCCTCCTGAGTAGCTACTATTACAGGCATGAGTCAGAGGCGCCTGACTCACAACAATCTTGTTTTTTCTTTTGGTCGGTCGTGGGGCTTAAACTCTGGGCTTGGGCGCTGTCCCTGCGCTCTTCAGTTCAAGGCCAGCGCTCTACCACTTGAGCCACAGCGCCACTTCCGGTTTTCTAGTGGTTTACTGGACATAAGAGTCTTACGGACTTTCTTTCCCGGGCTGGCTTTGAACCTCAATCCTCAGATCTCAGCCTTTTGAGTAGCAAGGATTACAAGCATAAGCCACCGGTGCCAGGCTTCACAGCAATCTTAATTGTAATGATAGACTAAGGAATTGGTAATGAAAATGCAATTCATCCTCTGTAATCATGGGTGTCAAAAAACAAATTTCCATCATTTCCTGGTCACTTACCTCTGAGTTGCTGGAGTTCCAGATTCAGACTTTGAATGTTATTCTCATAGGACTCAAGATTCTCAAGGGCTTCTGCTTCTAAGGATTCATCCTGCTTCTCCTCCAGCATGGAGCTGAGCTCCTCCTGAGCTCTGGTGTACATATCCAGGTCCTGCTCCACTTCCTGAATCCTCACCAGTACTGAGGGGCATGGGAAAGTCTGCTCCAGACTCCTTTCTACATGCTCAGGGGCCTCCTTTTCTAGGGCCTCCCAGCCAGGATGATGACCAGAGAGGGGTCTGGGGGATGCTGCATTCACCCTGGGCTGTGAAGAAGGAGGCAGGGGAGCTGGGCGAGAGGGTCGCATGACCAAGAGGGGTGCAGGCTTGGGTCTCTGGTCAGCTAGCAAGTGTGGGGATGTGAACACTGGAGTAGAGGGTCTGGGTGGTGGTGGCCTCAGGACCTTCTTCCTTTCGAGTGGCTCTTGCAGGGAGAGGAACTTGGAGGAACCACGAACAATATCCTTCTCAGAATTAAAGTCCATGATTGAAAAGTGGCGTGAAATTTTCTCTGGCTCAATACCAGGCCCTGACAGGCTCTTCTCAAACTCGATCAACTGTTGTGTCAACTTAGAATCTAGGTCAGTGCTGTGTCCCAGTGACAGTGTGGTGACATCTGTGGCCAGCTCCTTACCTTGGGGACCAGGCCTTCTCTGTGAGCTCTCTAATTCAGAACAGAAGCTGTTGGCACTTTCTCTGGACGTGAAGTGCTTCTTAGCATACCGGGCCATGGCATGGAGCTGGGGACTCCACTGGCTGGGTTTGGCTGTTCTGGAGCCAGTGAGGGAAGAGGCCCTGTGAAGGGGAGGCCCTGGCCTCTGAAGGGCTCTTTGCTGGGCACATGTTTTTTTGTGAGGGAGGCTGGAGTAGTCTCTAGTCCTGCCTTCCAGTGGAAGGTCAGAGAACTGTTCTGAGCTTTTTGCTCCTAATGTAGAACAATACTGATTTTTCTGCACTTTGGAATATAAAGGTACTTGAGGTTGGGAGGAAATACCATTGACTCCCTCCAAAGGCTTGGGCATGGAAGGATCTTTAGCAAGAGGTCTTTCATGCCTTTCACCTGAACTTCTGGAGTACCCTCCTGCTCCCAAGGTGGCTACATCTTGACCACAGAGCTTATTTCCATCATGTTCAGGAGCCCAGGGCTCTGAAGGAGAAATGCACATGTCAGAAGGAACATGGCTGGGCTTCACCGCCGGGTACTCTTGAGATTCCTGTTTTGGTTCCTCCACTACTACTGAGTTCTCAAATCCATCCAAACAGCTCTCCTGGGTCTTGGTGAGGCCATCTTCTTGTAGGGGGGTCGGGGCTTCCTCAGTCCTGGTGCTTGGACATAACTTTACAAACCGGTAAGGAAAAATGCCTGTCCTGCCCTTTAGCCTTCCTTCTAGCCAGCCATCTTCCAAGGTTGCCAGAATTTGAATTTTATCTCCAACTTCAAAATCCAACTCATTTGGCTCTAGGGCTTGGAATCTGTAGAGGGCAATTCCATATGAGCCTCCTTGTTCGCCTTCATCATCCTCAGCAAGCCCTCTCCCTTCTTCTCCTCCAGGGATTTCTATGTTACCATTAGCAACGTGGTCATCTCCCTTTCCAGAACTTACAGATTCATCTACAGTCCTCAGGGGACCCAAAAGCTCAACAAAACCTTCTGGGAAAATGCCTCTTCGACCCTCTAACTCCCCTTCAAACCAGCCCGGCTCAGGAACTCCAATAATGGTAATCACATCCCCTTCCCTGAAGTCCAGCTCCTCATCCAGCTGGGCAGAGAGACCCATCAGGGCCCAAGCTTGTCCCATGGAATATTCTGGAATTTGAAGCTGGGTACTCTGGGAATGCCACTTCCTGCTTTGAGAAGAAAGGCAGAGCTCCCGAACACAGGAAGATGGGAAGAAGCCCCGAGCACCCCAGCAGCTTCGGCCCTGCAGCCAGCCTGCCGTGGGAGTGCCATCGAGAATCACCAGGTCACCTGAGGGAAAATAAGCAGAAAATGACTTCCGCTGTCACACAGCATGATATTACTATGACCAAGAATGCAATTCAGCATTTTTCAACATCTGTCAACTCCAGGATATATACACCTGGTTTTAAGAGCACAAACACCCAAAACAAGTTGGTGAATTGGAATATTCCTATAGACCTAGTTTTGTCAAAGTGTAAGTCATGGAACCCTAGAAGTGGACCCTTGAGATCCTTTCAGAGGCTATGGGAGGTAGCCAGTATTTTCATACTTGATGTACATTTTTCACTATGTTGACATTTGTGACAATTGTGCAAAAACACTAGGGGTAAGGGTTGGGGAGGGTGGAAGTAAAATTGCTGGCAATGTATAAAACAGAGTGATGGCAACAAATTATATAAATGGTCACTGCAAGTCAGGTACTGGGTGTTGGGGGGTGGTCATGCCTATAAACCTAGCTACTTAGGAGGCTAATATTTGAGGATAGAGGTTCAAAGCCAGCCTAGGTAAGAAAATCCCTGAGACTCAATCAACTAGTAAAAAGTGCCAGAAGTGGAACTGTGGCTCAAGTGGTACAGGCTCAGCATTAAGCAAACAAGCTAAGGGAGCATGTTCAGACCTGGAGTTAAAGCTCTAGTGCTCTCTCACAGACACAGACACAGACACAGACACAGACACAGACACAGACACAGACACACACACACACACACACACACACACACACACACACACACACTATAGTCACTATAGAGTCACTGCATCCTCACCACCAAAACTCATATGCAAAAATTACTAGTTTCTGTTAAGAATGTCCTCAAGGATATGTCTTTTGTAATATTCTACGTGATAAAATGGGAAGTGAGTATAAGACTCTTTTCTGGCGATCTTGAAGCAAAGCACTGCACTAGCTGGGTTGTACACTTGATTCAGAAGCTTTTTCCACTGAACACTGTTTACATGTAAGAATGACTGACAGACAGCTATGGTTATTTGGGCTTGGATACTGGCAGACATTTTCTCTGAAACAAAACAAATGAGTCTGTAACTGCAAGGAAAACAAACAGGGCCAGGCACTGGCTGCTCATGCCTGCAATCCTAGCTACTTAGGAGGCTGAGATCTGAGAACTGGGCTTCAAAGACAGCCCAGGCAGGAAAATTCAGGAGACTCCTAGCTGCAATAAACCACTCAGAAAAAGCTGGAAGTGGCTCTGTGCCTCAAGTGGTTGAGCACTAGCCTTGAGCAAAAGAAGCTCAGGGTTAGTACTCAGAGTTTAAAGCCCAGGACCATTAAAAAAAAAAAGGAAAACAAACACCACAGGATTTTGTGCCAATGTTAAAATTCCAAGTTCCATATTAAACATTATTATTTTGGAAAATAATACCATGAGACTGACAGTGTTCTCATACTTGAAGACTTTTTAAAAATAATATTGACAATACAATTTTATGTTATATAATAAGAAGTCAACATTTGGAAAAACTGAATAACTCACTGAATCAATATTTTTCCAAATGACCAATGCATGCTGTTATAAAATCATTTATGACCAAAAGGTTCATTCCAAAAGCAAGGTGAGTGAATGGATGTTAGCACAGTATTACGGAAAAGCTCATTGATACTCTGCTGGGTCCAGCACTGTGGTTAACTCTAAAGAAACTACCACACATTGATTGTGATGTGATAGCAGAGAATAATTCATAATTTCTTGAAAAGACTAGTTAGATACCCCTACTGTCTCTCATTACATATTTCTGCAAGGGTGCATTTTTCCAGTATACTTCAAATCAAAACAACATACGGTAATAGATTAAATACAGATGCAAATATGGAAATCCAGCTTTCTTCTGTTAAATCAAACATTAAACAGATTTATGAAAATGTAAACCATTGTTATTCCTCACTAATTTTTTTTATTTGGAAAGTTTCAGTAATTTTTCATAAGGATTTTTAGTGAACGGACAAATATTTTTTTAATTCCCTGTGTTTTGTCCTTTTTTGAGCTGATACTGGGACTTGAACTGCACTCTCACTTAGCTTCTTTGCTCACAACTGGTGCTCTACTATTTGATCCAGGCCTCCAATTCTGGTTTTTTGCTGGTTATTTGGAAATAAAAGTCTCTTGGATTTGTTTACCCAGGCTGGTTTGGAACTGTGATCCTCAGATCTCAGCCTCTTGATTAGTTAGGATTATAGGTGTAAGCTATTGGTGCCTAGTTTAAATCCCCAATTTTAATCGTTAATACAATAAATGCTGTCCCAAAACATGATTTCTTCCAGCCTACCAAATGATTCATGCCAATTACAACTTACAAATGTACCACCAACTTTATCAAGCTTTCATTATGAGGCAGGGAGAGTCTATTACCAACAGCTTCTTCTCTAGCAATCTTATTCTTATTATCTGAAAGAGCAAAATAGAAGCTTGCTCTCAACACACTCTAAAGAGATTCACTTGGGATGATACCAAAAGACTATTCATGTTTATGGCTATTCAGTTATAAATCTCCTCTCCACCACATACCCGATATGAGGCACCTAGGATCTGAGACCCTATTCTACACAAGAGGACTTTTGTTTTCTTTGCTTTTAAGACAAGGTCTCATTGTGAGGCTGAGTCTAGATTCCTTGGGATTCTTCTGCTTCAGCCTCCTAAATATCTGGATTATAAGACATGTACTTCCATGTCTAGCCCACAAGGGGACTTTTTTTTTTCTCATAAAAACGATGTCATGAACTCTAAGCATTTACTCATGCATTATTATCTCTCTGATATCTTAGCTGGAAACTTTATAAAACTTTAGAAACTCACATTCATCTTGGTCATCTGTGGCCTATAAAAGAAATAATTGTTTTTATCACTAATTCTCTACCTGCATATTAACATACTATACAACAACTAACATAAGGCATTAGACTTAGTGGAAGTACTCAATATATTTTCACAAACTTCATGGATGTTCTTGAAAAGTAGTGTCCTTAGTCTTGTATCCCTTTCCTTTTTCCGTTTGTTTCCTTTTTGTTGTTATTTAATCTTAGGGCTTGAACTCAGGGTCAGGGTGCTGTCTCAGCTTTTTTGCTCAAGGCTAGCACTCTACCATTTTGAACCATAGCATGACTTCTGATTTTCTAGTGGTTAATTGGAGATAAGATCTCACAGATCTTCCTGCTTGGGCTGGCTTCAAACTGATCCTCAGATCTCAGCCTCCTGAGTAGCTAAGGTTATAGGCATGAGCCACTAACTCTTGGCTTTTTGTTTCTGGTAGTAAGAGATATTGAACTGAAGACTTCACACATGGCAGGTAAGTACTCTGCCACTTAAGCCATATTTATGTTCTATTCTTACTAAGTATCTGAAATTACAGGCATGTACCACTATGCTTGGCTTAGTCCTGTGTTTCCTTTAATCCGTGACCCTATATCCATTGCTCAGAGGTGCTGAGAATTACAAGTGTTTTCTCTTTTACTGATCCTGAGGCCTGCTACCAAGGCCTCAGAGGGAACTCACTGGTGACATGACTCTTCAGAGACAATGGGTCTCTGGATGAATAGGAAAATCAAAGCATGCCTTAACTCCCACTCCACTGGCTTTGAAATGACTGGCTCTCTTCGAGCTGTGCAATGACAGTGTTTTCTTTGTTTGGTGAGATCCCCATGAACTCACATAATAGAGCTTGTTTGCCTGTCTACTTTCTGCAGAAGGGCTGTTTTGATAAGCTTTACTACCTGGCAAACTTATTCTGTTGGCTATTTCTATATTATAAAGATGAATATCAAAACAACCTAACAATAATAAAAACCCCACAACTTTGATCCTAGAAGGCATGTTAATTTATTGTACTAGCTTTACTTTATAATACTGATCATTCCTAAGTTGTTTGTGTGGGTGTGTGGTTGTTTGTTTGCACAAATCTCTCTCTCTTTTTTTTTTTTGTCCGTCGTGGGGCTTGAATTGTGGGCTTGGGTGCTGAACCCTCAGCTCTTCAGCTCAAGGCTAGCACTCTACCATTTGAGCCACAGCACCCACTTCTGGCTTTTTCTGTTTATGTGGTGCTGAGGAATCGAACCCAGGGCTTCATGCATGCAAGGCAGGCACTCTACCACTGAGCCACCTTCCCAGCCCTGAAATCTCTCATTTTCATCAGCTGTGTAAAGTATTCCCCTGGAATCCTGGGTGATCCCTTAGGAAGGTAGGCTTTCCAGACTTCTAGAACACCAATCTAGGGGCCTCTTAGAAACGTGTGGCCAGATTCAAGAGCAGTCTAAAATAATTGTGGGCTTCAGGAAAAGGTAGAAGGGTGACACCTGCTGGAAGAGCACCTGATGACTCAACTTTCTCTGGGAAAACGCACAGAATTATGGGAAAACTGGCCCCAAAGCATATCATGAAGACTCAGGACCCAAGATAGACTAGCAATAACTAACATTTATTGAGTGTTTCTCTCTTGCCAGACAGAGGCATTACATGCCTAAATTTATTTAATCCTCATAACTAACTCCTTATATTTTAGAAAAGGAAACTGAGGATGAGAGATTTAATAACTAGCCCAAGTTTACAACTATTAAGTGAGGGAGTTGGACCTAAATCTAGGACTGTCAAAATTCTTTTTTTTTTTTTTTTTTGGTCGGCCGTGGGGCTTGAACTCTGGGCCTGGGCACTGTCCCTCAGCTCTTCAGCTCAAGGCAAGCGCTCTACCACTTGAGCTACAGTGCCACTTCCGGTTTTCTGGTGGTTTATTGGAGATAGGAGTCTCACGGTCTCTCCTGCCCGGGCTGGCTTTGAACCATGATCCTCAGATCTCAGCCTCCTGAGTAGCTAGGATTACAGGCCCGGCCGACTGTCAGAATTCTTGTCCTCACCAGATGCTGATGACACATGCTCTTAATCCTTGGCTACTCAGGAGGCTGAGATCTGAGGATCACAGTCCCAAGTTAGCTGGAGCAGACAAATCTGGGACTCTTATTCCAAATAACCAATAAAAAACTAGAACTTGAGGCATGGCTCAAGTGGTAGAGAGTTAGACTTGGGTGAAAAGCCTAAACAAGTTCAATGCCTAGTACAAGTACCAATACACACACACACACACACACACACACACACACACACACACACACACAAAGAAATCTTGTCTCCTATGCTATATCACTTATTATTAACACATATACATATATAACATACTCACATATTTGATTATAAACATAAATAAGTATATAAACCTGTGTGTGTACACATATACTCTTTATTCTTGTTAAGCCTGATGCTTAATATTAAACAAAATAACTAAAAGGTAGCATGGTAAAATATGACATATGTCCAACACTATCCCATGTACTCTTAAATTTTACAACTCTGACATAATCATCAATAACTGCTGCAACAAGGGTTTCAAGAGAAAAAAATCAATCAGAGGAGTCAGGATGAACAGTCTAGGGCAGAGATGAAGCAATGCAGACTACTCATGAGTTGAACTGGTGGTGAAGAAGTAGAAGGGCTGTCTCAAGCACTAGCCTTGAAACTCTGGAAACCTAGATCTGAGCTCAATAAACTGCATGGGGAATAAAACAATACTTTCATTTTGTAATGACTTTGTTTCCAAATAGCTAAATTAATCTGTGTTGATGTGACCTGTCATGTATAGAAAGCAATAGGGATTAAAATCATTGTAGTGTATCGAGCTAATATTCCCAGAAAAGACAAATTGCGTAAGTACATCGACCTGTCTCATGCATGAAAATGTGCCTTTCCAAATGAAAAGCCATACTGAACTAAAAAGATTCACGAAGGGCATGGCAGAACAGAGCTTACTGGACCAGGATGCTCCTGCAGTAGATACCACAGAGACAAGAACAAGTTGGAATGACAGGAAGCTCATCTTTTTCTAGTCTCTCCCCTGTGTACTTTGCCCTACACATCCTCTTCCTTTAGAGTCCATTTACAACTTTCAGCTTCTTAGGCTCAGCTGGTTACAGATTCCAGAGCCAGGTTGGGACTGGTGATCTTGGCTGTCTGGATACAGACACCCATAGCTGCATGGTCAAGCCAGGGTCTTTTGGACTCTCTCTTAGAATTTCTAAGGTGGATTTTAATTTCAAAATGAGGTAAGAAGACATTAGATCAGTCTTCCCAACACATGCTTCTTAAGAAAATCTTTCTCTCTTATTTTTGGTACCTGACTTGAGTACATAAGATGTAATTACAAAGATTTTTGATGCAAAACAGCTAATTCCAGAAGCCACATCCTCAAATTCCTCATGCTATTGTAGACACACTGTGTATTTCTACACAGTGTGTTCTTCCACCCATTCTTTACACAAGGATCCAGGCACAGGGAAGGAAAAGCCATGTGGTGCATACCCACTGGACAGACGGGTGGAAGCCCAAGTGCTCTTGTTCTTCCTCCATCCTACCTGGGCCTACTCTGGCATGGACTTCAAGCTACTGCCATAAGCTCACCATCTATTTCTATCATCGTCCAGGTACTAAATAACAAAGATGTCTACAGAATATCTTTTCCTCTTAAGGCTGACACTCTACCACTTGAGCGACCCCTCCACTTCCAGCTTTTTGGTAGTTAACTGGAGATAAGAGTCTCATGGACTTTTCTTCAGGACTCTGGTTTTTTGTTTTTATTTTTTGTTTTTAAGAGGCCTAGCTGTCAGGATAGGCACACTCCACCATGCAGGCTCACATGTCTACTCTGATGTATAGCTTACCTCGATGGAGGGGAAGACTGCTCAGTTCCTGGGATGCAAACTCAGAGATGCATACAAAGAGCTTCTCTCCCTCCTTTAGACTGGGGATGGTCACAATTTCCACAAAACTGCTAGGAAACTGTCCTAAAAAATAAGAAGATATTGAATATTGAAATTTTTGTGAAGTTTTTGCAAGGATTTATTTGAGTAAAACAGGGTAAGGTATGTAGAAGTAGAAAAAGAAGAAAATACTTCCAGCTCCTGATACAGGAAATTAGAGCTAAAGACTCCTTGAACATTGAATTTTATTTTAATATTGAAGTTTATTTTCCTGTCTGTGTACAAGGACAAGTTTTTTTTTTTCTGAGTCCGTTTAGAGACCCTGAATGGAAAACTCACTGAGTCTAATAAGTGGAGACTCTACTGTAGAGGTGCAGGGCACAGAATCACATGTGTGCTTCTAGGAAGGCAGAGAAGGTGCTTGTCTGTGAGCTCTTAAATGATCCTCCAGAAAGGCTGTAAAGGGAACTTGATCAGGAAATGTTGGTCTTCAAAAGTCTGAAAACTTAGCTCAGACACAAATGATAACTCACCTACAATCTTAATTCATTACACAGGTAGTAAATTACCATGGAAGATCAGAGAAATGGGTCAAGAAGAACATGAAAAAAGACAGGGTCTCACAGGATGGCTGTGAACCTTCTACGTAGCCCAAGCTGGCCTTAAACTCACAATCCTCCTGCCTCAACCTCCCAACTGCAGGAATCATTGGTGTGTGCCACCACATCTGCTCTAAGAACATGAAGCTTTTTATGAAAAAGATAGCATTTCAGAATGAAGATGAATAGGGTTTATTAGGTAGTTGTAGAAAGAACGAACCTCCCAATGTGAAAGAATAAGAACTACTCCCTGCCCTCAAGTCTCTTGAATCTGTCCATTTCTCTCCAGGGCTATCATCCTTTCCTACCTGGATGACAGCAACAACCTCCCACCGTGCCTCTTTGTCTTCAGTTTTGTCCCTTCTTCTCATCTTGAGCTTCCTATGATACAAGTGTGACCCAGTTGTAGTATTGTTCCAGTTTCCCTTACCAGGCATAGTTTGTCCTCCAGGATCAGCTGCTGCTCCTCTGTACAACCACCCCCTCAACCATACAAGCTTTGTGCCTTCCTGAAGGACCCTCAGTCCCTTTGTTCCCTCTCCCTCTGGAGCCTCTAAGGGAGTGATTCTCTTTGCCGGTTCATGTTTCGTCTCAGCAGAGACATCACTTTTGATGGGAAATCATCTACTTCACAAATGTGGGCTAAGTGTCCCCTGAATCTGCTCTTAGGACTGTGTTACACAGTCCAAATCAGACTTTACAAAAAACATCTGCAAATCAAAGATTAGATTTATATAGGCTCATTAATGAGAGAAACCCATATTCCTGTGTCTTAAAGAATGGGAAAAAGGGAACCAGAAGCATGTAATATGGGAGACAGGAATCTTTAGGGTCAAGATGACCTTAGTTCAGAGCAACCACAGATGTAGAAAGGAGAGAAAAGGATGAACCAGGCTGCCCTGCAAAGAATGAACCACAGAGCAGGGAATGAGAGAAAAACACAGCAGAGGAAGCAGGTGGAGAACACCCTAGGTTCCATCAGAGGTGAATGTGGCTGTGAAAAGCAATGATCACAGGGCTTCTGAAGACAGGAACAATACATACATTGAAAAGAAAAAAAACAGCACTGAATACAAAGGCTCAAGCACTGGGAAGGGAAAGGAAAGAAAAGGGAAAGACATGGGTAGAAAACTAAGCTAGTGACAGCTAGCATCTAATCAGGATGCTGAAGCATCCAGAAGGAGTCACTAAGGAGAGAGATCACTAATGATGACAGAAACTGTCCTCACAGCAAAGGCTGCAGTGTGCATACAGAAGACATGAGCGCATTCTGAAGTTCCTGGTTCAGGTTCCATGGTCCATTGTGCATAGAAGGAAACATGGGCCTCTTACCTGTAACGTCCTCCTTCTTCCCTAGAAGCCAAAATTCATCCACCACTGCCAACACCTCGATAATATCCCCCACAAAGAGTGGCAGCTCCTCTGATACACTAGGGCAAAAGTCAAAGATGGCGCGGACCACTGAGCCAGTCTCCATGCTTCACAACCTGGAAAGGAAGGCCCAAACCATCAGAGATAGCAACATTTAAGATGTACTGTAAATCTGTTTTTTGAGAATGGTAAAGCTTAAAACATTAAGACACTTAAAATGAAATTTGAAAAAACAAGCAAATGAGTTTCCTTATTTTTTTAAAATAAAATATTTTCTCATGTATTTCTTTAAAGAATAATTATTTCCTTACATTTTTATTTGAATCTCAAAACAATTCTGATTCTGAAAAATAAAAAGTATACCCTATACCTATTCCTCAGATTGACAGAGAAGGCCAGGTGTGGTGGCACATGCCCAAAATCCCAGCTACATAAAAGGTTCTCAAAACAAGCTGATAGGCTGGGTGCTGGTGGCTCATACCTAGCTACTCAGGAGGCTGAGATCTAAGGACTGGGATTCAAAGTTGGTACAGGAAAGTCTGTGAAATTCTTATCTCCAGTTAACCACCAAAAAGCAGGAAGTGGAGGTATGGCTCAAGTGGTGGAGCACCAGCCTTAAGCAAAAAGAGTCTAGTGAGAGTATGAGGTCCTGAGCTCCAGCCTCAGTACTACCACATACACATACATACATATATACAAGTTGATAGTGATGGTGCAGGTCTATAATCCCAGCTACTTGAGAGGTAAGACAGAAGCATAGTGTTCTGAGGCTGTCATAAGGGCAAAAAGCAAAAGACTCCATATAAATAATATGAGACCCTACCATAAAAATAAAGCAAAAAGGCCTGGGTGCAGCACTAGTGGTAGAGCACAAGGCCCTGAGTTCAAATCCCTATAGGGCCAAAAAAAAAAGTGAAAGAAAAGATTCAAGTTGGTAACGTTCAGGACATGAAGTATCAGGCAACACATTACTTTTTAACTATTTAGAGAGAGTTCACTATGTTGAAAATGAATTATACAACTTACTGGCCAGGACCGGAGGGAAAAACCGGGAAAGAGCAAAGAAGGGGTGACATTGTCCAAAAAGAAATGTACTCATTACCTGACCTATGAAACTGTAACCCCTCTGTACATTACCTTAGTAAAAACAATAAAAAATTAATATTAAAAAGTAGAGACTTGAGACAGGGCATTTCTTTTATTCCCCATACGCATCCTGAAGATCAGGACATGGCATTTATCCAGCAGGGCCAGGACTCACTGAGGCATTCTGGCTCCTGTGTACTGTGACCTGCCCACAAGCAGCAGGGCCCACCTTGCCTAAGGTCAAGATTTAAGCACAATGAAAAGTAAGACTCCACAGAAAGAGCAAAAAAGTGCCGTGCATGGGGCTTCCAGGTGACGGTTAGTATACTATACTATATCAAGTACATGTTTCTCGTTCAATGAAGCCTGGGCCAACCCTGGAGAGTGAGTTTCTAGAACTATCATGCGTGGTGTGTCCATTTCCTTGACTCCTGTGGCTGGCAGCACCAGAACACCAGACCATAGCAGCTGCCTACGTCCACCAATGGACACCCAGCCACGATCAGAGCTATGCTCTCCCCAGGCCTCTTATAGGGAGCAGCTGGGACCTCCAGGGGCCAGGCCCCAGCCTCCTTTTCTTGATTCCCCTCAGGTACTGGTGGGTGGAGATGAAGACTCTAAGTCCTCTCACCAGGACTATGATCATACCCCCAAAGCATCAAAGGCCTCCAGACAAAACAAGACAGGCATCAAGGACTCCCAGGAAATAGAAGGTGGAAAAACATGTTAGATATATACTTCAGTATACTAATGTGGACTGTCTATCAGATTTTAATGAAATCCTGAAGGAAAATTAAGCATTATACATTTAATTTTCTCTGTTGAATAAAAACAGCTTGTTACTGAGCCTTTTTTTCCTCCGATAATGAGATGATTGAGTCCAGAGTGAAAAAGAGAAGTGGCTATAACATTTCCCACATCTTCCCTACACAGAGTTGAAATTCATTCTCTTCCCCTGCTTCCCCTACTCTCCCTTCTTTACTTCCCCCTCCTGGGATGGGGGGGGAAAAGTAAAACCTCAGGGCCTCCTATAAGGCAAATGATCTACCACTGACCTAAACCCCCAGCCTCCAGATTTTCTGTATTTAAGAAATAATCTAACTGCCGGGCGCTGGTGGCTCATGCCTGTAATCCTAGCTACTCAGGAGGCTGAGATCTGAGGATCATGGCTCAAAGCCAGCCCGGGCAGGAGAGACCGTGAGACTCCTATCTCCAATAAACCACTAGAAAAAAACCGGAAGTGGCGCTGTAGCTCAAGTGGTAGAGTGCTCGCCTTGAGCTGAAGAGCTGAGGGACAGCGCCCAGGCCCAGAGTTCAAGCCCCACGACTGACAAAAAAAAAAAAAAAAGAAATAATCTAACTATAGTTACAGTCTGAGGACATAGCATACTGTGAATGCAAAGCAAGATTCTGTAGTCAGAAAGACCAAGGTTCAAATCAAGGATGGAAGAAAGTACTTTGCATACCCCTTAGCACCCTAGGGGTTGGGACAGGGTAGGTATTACTGTCCTTCTTATAGTACATTTTCTCAAATTTCATCTCACTGACTGCTATCAATATCTAAAATGTCAAGTAACAAATTAGCATAAGCCCCACTGATTTCTCAGAATTTAGCCCCTGTGATCTGAAAGAGTTAATGAGACCTTTTCATTCTCCCAAAAAATGACTCAGAAGCAGAGAAGAATCTGGCTCAACAAATTCTTTTACTGACTGACCTCCTACTCTGCTGGGATAAGTGTGTAATTGCCCAGAAACACACACCCTAGAAGGTACAGAAGTCACAGCCTACAGAGTTCTGTGATTCATATGTGAGACGAGGGAAGGCCTGCTGGCCCCTACTTGACAAATAATTTGGATGGATTTGGCCTCAGCCTTCCCTGCGGAAAAGCAACTATTATTACTCACACCAGGCCATTGTGGAAACCTGACCATATAGCTTAAATCTTTTGTTGTTGTTGTTGTTGGTCGTGGGGCCTGGACACTGTCCCTGAGCTCCTCAGCTCTACCACTTGAGCCACAGTACCACTTCTGGATTTTTCTGTGGTGCTGAGGAATCAAACCCAGGGCCTCATGCATGCAAGGCAGGCACTCTACCACTGAGCCACCTTCCCAGCCCCATAGCTTAAATCCTAATCATCAGTGGCTTCTAAAAAATAATCTACACAATCCCAGATGGAAGGAAAAGGAATGGCAGTAAAAAGGAGAGCAGCAATGGTCAGATAAAACAAAGGGAACATCTACCCACAGGGAATGACGCCAGCAAAGCTAGCAGGGAAATCCCCTCCCTCCCTGGTTGGTGGTTATCTGCGCTTCCACTCTGAAAGAGCTGTTCTGCATCTGCAATATAAACAGCCATGGAAAGGTAATTCTCCAAACGCTTTGAGAACAAGAACTGTGGAGGGAAGAGTTGGTATTTGCTTTTGTTCACTGGTATGCAGTGGACAGTTTCCTCTGTCAGGCAAAGAAACATTCTGAAACAACTTACTAAACCCTAAGAAAATGTATCACACCGTTCAAAATCAAAATCTCTAGCTCCACTTACCTAAAATTCAACTAACCATCTCTTTCCCTCAAAAAGTTGCACTTTCCAGCTTGTCATAAATCCTCCAAGTCAAGCATTAATATCTGTGATCCTCCTTCAGTTTCCGTAATCCATAGTACACTAATAACAATGGCCACCATTGGAGCACTTGGCATGTGCCAGCCATCCCTATAAGGCAAGGATCAAACTTACCCAACTTCCTTAGCTACCAAATAGCTGATTCAAATCCAGGATTCAGGCCCATGTTCTTCCATTTGTTTATTTCCTTCCAGGGCTGGGGCTAGAACCCAGCTCTGGATATGCTAGGCAAGTGCTCTACCATTGAGCCGCACCTACAGCCTCTATGTTGTTTACTACAAAATTTACTCCTTTCAAATCTCATTGGTCTTTCCTTCAAAATATTCCAGACTTCCCTTTTCCTCTCTTTGTATCTCCAATATGTTATTGTGAAAATAATAAATTTACAGTGATATATTCATGCCTCAAAGGTATTTTAACTTTTTTTCCCCTTTTGTGGTGCTTGGGATTGAACCCAGGACCTTGTATATGCTAGATTCTACATTACCTGACATGGTTATTTTATCATATACCATCCATTTTATTATACATGTATCAGCTCAAGTTATTTTGTGACATCTTTAAAAATAAATAAAATTTCGGCATATATATGTGTTTTTTTTTTTGGTTGTGGGGCTTAAACTCTGGGTATGGGCACTGTCCCTCAGCTCTTCAGCTCAAGGCGAGTGCTCTACTGCTTGAGCCACAGTGCCACTTCTGGTTTTCTGAGTGGTTTATTCAAGATAAGAGTCTCACATACTTTCCTACCTGGCTTTGAACCATGATCCTCAGATCTCAACCTCCTGAGTAGTTAAGATTACAGGCGTGAGCCACCAGTGCCCGGCAGCATATACATCTTGAATCTTATATTTGCTTATAATTTCTTTAAGTGCTTTTATTGGTGGGGGTCCGGTCGTGGGGTCTGAACTCTGGGCCTGGGCGCTGTCCCTCAGCTCTTCAGCTCAAGGCTAACGCTCTACCCCTTGAGCCACAGCGCCACTTCTGGCTTTTTTCTTTTTGCTTATATGGTGCTGAGGAATCGAACCTAGGACCTCAGGCATGCAAGGCAAGCACTCTACCACTGAGCCACCTTCCCAGCCCCTAAGTGCTTCTTTTCTTGTCAGCAAAAATTATCATTGTTTTCTTCCCACTAAAATGTCAGTGAACCTGATCAGTTTTTCCTAAATGTTGATTTTTACATATTACTTTGTTGCTTAACAATTTACAAGGCCTTCCTACTTTCTGTAATTTGTTAACATATTCAACAAATATTTATCAGCCTAAATAGGGCAATCAAAGGATCATACAGGATAAAAATTTTGCTTTCCTGGGCAGGCTAGTATTTGATGACCTTTAACCTGATCTTTTTTTCTTTTCTTTTTTCTAGGACTGAGACTTGGACTCAAATTCAAACTCAAACTGGCTAGAGCTCTACCAATTGAGCCACACCTTCAACCTCTAACTTGATTTTTTTTTTGGGTGGGGCCATAGGGCTTGAACTCAGGGCTTGGATACTGTTCCTGAGCTGTTTTGCTAAAAGCTTCCTGCTCTACCACTTTGAGCCACAGCTCCACTTCTGGTTTTCTGGTGGTTAATTGGAGATAAGAGTCTAATGGACTTTCCTGCCCAGGTTGGCTTTGAACCATGATCCTCAGATCTCAGCTTCTTGAAAGTAGCTAGGATTACAATCATAAACCACCAGTACCCTGCTTCTAACCTAATATTTTAAAAAGTTATTCTTTCATCTTATGGGGGCTGGAAGTAGTATTTAGACTTATCTCTACTATCATAAGTAATTCAGTTCCTATCCCAGAGTATCCATCCTCCCTAGGGAAAAATTAAACCCTGTGACACCCTGAGCTCTCAACTTAGAAGTAGATACTCAGATTCAGTCATCCAAAGAGGGGGCAGGGGAGGAGAGCTTAAGTTTCCAGTGATTTTTTAGTACCTCGAGGATATTTTAACATTTGTTTCTGTGGTTATGTTTGGGATTGAACCAGGGTCTTGCACATGCTAGGAAAGGGCTACAGGACTGGCTCTCTCTCCCTCCCCATCCCCCCTCACACACACACACACACACACACACACACCCCAATCTACTGGCTCTCTCTCCCTCCCCATCCCCCCCCCCCCCACATACACACACACACACACACACACACACCAATCTAGTCGCAAATTCTTTTTAATCCTACATCTCTCAACTTGTCTTTTTCTTTTTTCTTTCTTGTGCTGGGCCTGGGCTTAAACTCAAGGTATAGGCATTGTCCCTGAGCTTTTTTGATCAAGGCTAGCACTCTCCCACTTGAAGCACAGTTCCACTTCTGGCTTTTTCTGGTGGTTAATTGGAAATAAGAACCTTATAGACTTTCTGCCTGGGCTTGTTAAACTGTAATCCTCAGATCTCAGCTTTCTGAGTAGCTAGGATTACAACTATGAGCCATGGGCACCCAGCTCAAGGTCTGGCCAAAACATAGTACTTCTTTCAGGTTGCACTTCGTATTTTTCTACTTCATTCCACTCCACTCAGTAGTCAATGCAGTCTAACCCAATCCAACTGGTCTTTATGTTCTTAAGCATTTTCATGGCAGGTCCCATCTCCACCTGTTTAAATATACTTCCTACTCCCTGTGTCCTCCAAATAATTCCCGCCTCTCCTGCTCACCTCCACCTTTCATGTTTCAGTGCCTATGGCCATTGTCCCCATACTATTTTGTGGATCTGAGACATCAGATTGGACATGGAAGAGATGATGTCCTAAGAATAGTCATTTTTTTTAACTCAAAAGTGAAATAAAACTTTACAATGTACTTCCTGCAACCCAAGTGCCCACCGGTAGGTAGACGAACAAACAAAATGTAATATATACATTCAGCCTCAAAAAGGGTGAACATACTGACACATTTACCACATGGATGAACTTGGAAGATAGGTTATAGGCTACCGTGCACTTGTGGTTCACACCTGTAATCCTGGCTATTCAGGAGGCTGGGATCTGATTATTTCAGTTCAAAGCCAGCCTGGACAGACAAATCTGAGAGACCAGCAAAAAGCAGAAAGTGAAGGTATGGCTCAAGTGATAGCCAGAAGCAAAAAAGCAGAGTATGAGCCCTTAAGTCCAAGCCCTAGTACAACATATGTGTGCAAACACACATATGCACATACAAAGATATTATGCTAAGTGAAGTAAGCCAGACTCAAAGAGACAAATACTGCATGATTCTACTTACAGTGGTCAAATTCATTAACAGAAAGAATAGTAGTGGCCAGAGCCAGGGTGGAGGGGATACAGAGTTAGTTTGGGAAAATTAGGAAGTTGTGGGGGTGACTGGTAGCAATGTTAATTGCTTAATATCACAAAACTGTACATTTAAGATGATGAAAATAGAAAATTTATATTATATCCATTTACTACCATAATCATGTTTAAATATGTCATCAAATATGACTGAATGTGAGGGGCTGGGAAGGTGGCTCAGTGGTAGAGCGCTTGCCTTGCATGCCTGAGGCCCTGGGTTCGATTCCTCAGCACCACATAAGCAAAAAGAAAAAAGCCGGAAGTTGTGCTGTGGCTCAAGTGGTAGAGCGCTAGCCCTGAGCTGAAGAGCTGAGGGACAGCGCCCAGGCCCAGAGCTCAGGCCCCATGACTGGACCCAAAAAAAATTTTTAAAAAAAAATATGACTGAATGTGAAAAAAGCCTGGGAGAAGATGGGCGCTAAAGACTCACACCTGTAATCCTAACTACAGGATCTGAAGATAGCAGTTTGAAGCCAGCCTGGGAAGGAAAGTCCATGAGACTCTCATCTACAATTAACCACCAGAAAACCAGAAGTAGTGCTGATGCTTAAAGTGGTGAGCCAAAAGAGCTCGGGACAGCACCCAGGCCCCATCCCATGAACAAAAGAAAAAAAAGCCTGGGATACTCCAGTTGTTTGTTGTTGTTGTTTGTTTTGCTTTTTGTTTTCGCCAGTCCTGAGGCTTGAACTCGGCCTGGGCATTGTCCATGAGCTTCTTTTGCTCAAGGTTAGCACTCTACCACTTGGGCCACAGAGCCACCTCCAACTTTTTCTCTTTATGGGGTTTTGAGAAGTCAGACCCAGGGCTTCCTGCATGCTAAGCAAGACTCTACCACTAAACCACATTCCTAGCCCTTCAGTAATTTTCATAAGCAACATATCTACAATTAAAAATCTACCAAGATCACAAACTATAAACTTTTACCCTGACAGATACTGTTATCAACCAGCTTAATAAGTAATTTCCAATATGGCCTTTGGGGCTAAGGTCTGACCTTGGAACAGACCGTGGATACTGAATGTCAGTCCTAGCTCTGTCTTGCAACCTGCTCTTATGCCCAAGGCAGATGCCTAAGCACGGAGCCCAGCCTTCCCTCAACGCTTGTTTCTGTTAACTTAATCGATGGGTGGCACCTGAGGCCAAGGCTGGTCATGTGGGACTATTGGTTTCTCTGGCTTCTTCCCTCCTTCTGGCTATGAGTTGGCTGTACTGCCTATCCAAGGCCCCAGGTCTTGTCAGAAGTCCCCTCTGAGCAGCTTCTCCCTCCATTATGATCTCTGTACTGAAAAGATCTCTAATGTGACCCTGGGCAGAAGCCAGGCCTACTGGTGTATACAAGTTATCTCAACTACTTAGGAGGTAAAGGTACTTGGATTGTGGCAAGGCTGGCTGGATAAAATTAGCACAAGACCCAATCTGAAAAACTGAAAGCAAAAGTGCTGAGGGTGTGGCTAGAGCACCTGCCCAGCAAATATGAGGTCTTAAATTCAATCCCCAGAGGAGGAGGGACAGGAAGAGATGGAAAAGACTGAGGGCAGAGAATATTGTAAAGTATAAGATAATTTACTAAACCTACTGTTTTAAAACCCCGTAAGAGATGACAGAATATAAACCTGAAGACTTTGAAAATTATTTAGAAAAATGTCAACTCACAAGTCTCTTTCCTAGACAAAAAATCAAATTTAGCCAATATATGCTGGGTGCCAGAGGCTTATGCTATAATCCTAGCTACTCAGGAGGCTGAGTGAAATCTGAGAATTAACATTGGAGTCAGACAAGACAGTGAAGGAAAAAGCTGAGCAGGAGCACACAGCCCTGCATTCAAGCCCCAGAACTGGCCTTGAAAAAAAATTAGCAGATTGCCTTTCTCTCCCCTGTCTTCCTCTCCTTGGGTGGGAGCTGGCATATACCTTTGGATCCCTTTAAGGGACCGGGAGTGGGGTCCTCTTTGCAGTGGCTCTCTAGGACAAGTTCCCGCAAACAACATGCTTTCATGAGCATGTTGAGGTTTCTCATGTTTTGGAACTGAACTTTCCAGAGCATGCAATACTTAGAGAGTATGAATCCATTTCAAGATTTCAAGTCCAAGTAGACACAAGAACTATTTAACCTCAAAAGCAGCTAAACATTTCTGTTACCTTCGACAACAGAGGACCAAAAGTATAGTTCTCCTCTTGTTGGGATCAAAGGTGTTAGAAATGAAGTCTAACTGCTTCAGGAAGGAAGGAAATGATAGAAGCTATGAAACAGCATTTCCTCCTCTGGTTTATGTCACTGAAGTTAGCTTTGGACAGGTCAGCAGTCACTGCCTGGCAATTCCTCAGAGAACTACCAACAGATTTGGTAGTAGAGGAAAAGGAAAAGTAACGGCATACCAACCAAGAGGTCTAGGCTGGGTGGAGGAGGATGGGCTGGGTCACCAGTGAGCTTCAGTGTGTACTGGTTTTACTGGCTGTGGAATGCAGGAGTGGCCTGCCCTGGTTTAGAAGGGATGATTGGAGAAACTAAGGTAGAAAAGTACAGGAATCTGCTGTCATAAACTGCCTTACAAGATTTTATTGCAACATCTGGCTTATCTCAGCAGATGGAATGGGATTATGTCAGAGTTTATGCCAATCATGGAAAGGCCCTTCAGTCTTTCTTGGGATCTGAACTGAAACAAGCCTTGTTCTAAAATACCCAATCCTTCCAGAAAGTTTGTTTTGACAGAGACAAAGCTAAATGAAAAAAGATGCAGGACTGTACACCCCCGCACGGCAACTGTAACTAACTTAAGGCTATCAGGCAGTAAACTAATTTTTTTCTCCCTTTTCTAGAATTCTATCTAGTTTTTTTTTTTTTGAAAAGTTATGCTAGTGGAGGAAAGGAGAGGAGCTTTATTGTCAATAGTTTGGAACTGATGAGGAAATTTATGTTAAATAAACATTTTCAAGTGGATTAGCCTACGAGTTCCTTAAGTATTCTCTGAGACTGACATTTCTTAAATCATGCATGAATCTCACTTATGGGTGGATATTTAAAAACCACTGACTCATAACTAAATGAATTGGACAAGTCTGAGCTAA